CAAGCACTGGTCAAGGCCGTTCACCTTGAGTGACAGGTCACTTGTTAGCTAGGTTGATCTGCTAGGTACCTCAGAGGCGTGGCTTAAGTCATCGTCTTGAGGGTTGTGTAGAACCGAGTAAAGGGAGGAGTTTAACCTTTGAGACAGATAGATAGTATACTTCGAGCCTTTGGAATTCCCGTCATTAATCGCAGCCTGCCGGCAAACACAGGTCGACCTAAAGTTCCCAGCGTCCCATGTGACGATCAGTCCATGAAGGAGACTATATTTTGTTAGACTCGGCCAGCTGGGAACGAGGTGGGGATGAAGTGGAGACTAAGCTGAAACAGGCAGAAAACAAGCAGGGAAGAAGCTAGAAGAGGAGGAAGAGCTTGACAGTGCTCACGGCTGTCAGAGGTTCTATGATAACTAAGTTATGTCATAAATTGTTCATACGGTATCACCTTCATCACACCATTCTAATCCCAGGTGCTGTTTTCTCGCTGAAGCATCTCATCACTATCATAACATTAACCAGTCACTGTTTGTGTAAACACAACAAACTGGGAAATATTATTTAAATGATTGTTAGTAAATAAAGCTGTATGTCAAGTTTTACACTACATCGTTTGTTAAATTCCAAGTGTATTCAGTCTTACCTGTTTAACTAAACTGATATATAGAATTACATTTGGTAGTGGCTCAAATAATATGATAATAATTCTTTAATTATTAATAATATTAACGGGAGAATGTACGACGGAGGAATCATTTGCCCTGTCTAATAATTCATTCAGCATAATGATATAGACATCTAAAATTCCTTTCCTTCTCTTGTGGGTACCAAGTGCAGCTAATGTTAATGTACTTAACGAGCCAATATGGCTGTTTTCTTGGATATCCAGGACTTTGTCTGAGAGCAACATACCTCGGAGTTTAGTTCCGTTAATCTGGTTGAGGGAATGTGTTGAGAGGAAAATCCCTACTCAACTTATAAAACATAAACACACCGCGTCACGACACTGGCCTAACAGACTAAATTTCGAATCGACATAATGTGGATATTTTAATCATTAACCTCAACTCACAGATCAACCAAGCTTAAAATAGATACAAGGATATGCCCAAGAAAGTAAAGGCGACAAGTATGATGTTGACTATATCAACTATCAATAAGTCATTGGTCTAAAAAAAACTTTAAGACTAGCACGAAAAAACTGTTTTGACCCAAAACTCGGTGGTGCCGAAAGCCCACAATGCCCGAAAAACCTGTACTTCCCCAACAACATGTACTGCTTCAAAAACCTGCACTACCTTCAAAACATGCATGTCCCTAAAAACATGGGCTGATCCAAAAAAAACATGTACTGCCCCAACAACATGTACTGCCCCAACAACATGTACTGCCCCAACAACATGTACTGCCCCAACAAGGTGTACTGCCCCAACAACATGTACTGCCCCAACAACATGTACTGCCCCAACAAGGTGTACTGCCCCAACAACATGTACTGCCCCAACAACATGTACTGCCCCAACAACATGTACTGCCCCAACAACATGTACTGCCCCAACAACATGTACTGCCCCAACAAGATGTACTGCCCCAACAACATGTACTGCCCCAACAACATGTACTGCCCCAACAAGATGTACTGCCCCAACAACATGTACTGCCCCAACAACATGTACTGCCCCAACAACATGTACTGCCCCAACAACGTGTACTGCCCCAACAAGGTGTACTGCCCCAACAACATGTACTGCCCCAACAACATGTACTGCCCCAACAAGATGTACTGCCCCAACAACATGTACTGCCCCAACAAGGTGTACTGCCCCAACAACATGTACTGCCCCAACAAGGTGTACTGCCCCAACAACATGTACTGCCCCAACAACATGTGCTGCCCCAACAAGGTGTACTGCCCCAACAACATGTACTGCCCCAACAAGGTGTACTGCCCCAACAACATGTACTGCCCCAACAACATGTGCTGCCCCAACAAGGTGTACTGCCCCAACAACATGTACTGCCCCAACAACATGTACTGCCCCAACAACATGTGCTGCCCCAACAAGGTGTACTGCCCAAACAACATGTACTGCCCCAACAAGGTGTACTGCCCCAACAACATGTACTGCCCCAACAAGGTGTACTGCCCCAACAACATGTACTGCCCCAACAACATGTGCTGCCCCAACAAGGTGTACTGCCCCAACAACATATACTGAACCAACAACATGTGCTGCCCCTGAAACCTGCACTTCCTCTGTGTAGCGTTGGTAGACATGTCTATCCACACCCTTCTGTGTCGGGAACCTTCAATCAATTCTGGCACATATAAACTTTCAAACTTTGTGGCGTTGGTAGACATGTCTATCCACACCCTTCTGTGTCGGGAACCTTCAATCAATTCTGGCACATATAAACTTTCAAACTTTGTGGCGTTGGTAGACATGTCTATCCACACCCTTCTGTGTCAGGAACCTTCAATCAGTTCTGGCACAGATTAACGTTCACACTTTGTGGCGTTGGTAGTCATGTATATCCACACCCTTCTGTGTCGGGAACCTTCATCCAATTTTGGCACAGATAAACTTTCAAACTTTGTGGCGTTGGTAGACATGTCTATCCACACTCTTCTGTGTCGGGAACCTTCAATCAATTCTGGCACAGATTAAGGTTCAAACTTTGTGGCGTTGGTAGACATGTCTATCCACACCCGTCTGTGTCGGGAACCTTCAACCAATTCTGGCACAGATAAACTTTCAAACTTTGTGGCGTTGGTAGACATGTCTATTCACAACCTTCTGTCGCGTGTTCTTTCAATTTATTCGGAGCAGATAATCTTTCCTACCCAGTGGCGATCGCAGTAATGTCTATCCACAACCTTCTGTCGCGTGTGCTGTCAGTCAAGTTTGGGCAGATTATCTGACTGACTGACTTTCTACTCCACCAGGACAACCACACAAGCGATAAACACCCGACGACACAAAGTGCCACCATGCGGATGAGGATCGCCGTGGAGAGGTCCCAGAAACCGCGTTCAGACATTTGGCCATATTTATGGCCTGCCTATATTGCGGCCCCCGGCAAAAGCCAGGGTGGAGCTTCAAATAAAAAATGTCATCCTGAAAAGGACGATAGAGAATAGGCAGATTATCTTCCTTGGTAATCTTAGTAATCTTAGTTTCAGCTTCATAGAAAACGGGTCACCCTATAGTTGCTCCGCCCCTGTGCCAACTAAAACACCCAGAATGTTTATCACAGTCCCTTGTGGAAAGGTTGAGAGACTGCTGTCCCAGCATATGCACTAGCATACACACGTAATAAAAGCGTACTGTAGGTTAACACAAACAGTCCGACATTAGAAACACAGTTCACCATTAATGGTAGTAGAAGTCACCAACAGATGAGCAGTTACAAACGCAATCAGTTTTGAGATCGCAATATTGCGACAAAAGGCATCGCGCCATTTTCTGCATCTACAATTCACACCACCACGTTGGTCACAGTCGAAAGACATTCCAAATAAAATCCACAGCTCACAGTGTCCCGCCAACTTAGAAGCTGGGCGACGAAACTATATCCTTTCAGTCTTCTAATGGAGCAAAAATGCAATGGCCACCGTCTGGCAGAAGCAAAAAGTTTTGCCACGACTCAAAACAGTGACCGTGCCTAGCATCCATTTTGACCGGTCCCTACCTAGTGGCGATCGTAGTGATGTCTAACCATAAGATTTTGTATCGTGTACTTCTAATTAGTTCTGGCACAAATGATCTTCCATGATATAATGTCGAATTTGTCTAGCATCTTCTCTCTTGGTCAATGAGACTCGGATATGTTTTAGACTAGGAAACAGATAGTTGTCGTCAAAACAGTTAACGTTTGAAAAAGAAACTGTATATGAATGTATAAAGAGCTGTCTACCCGTAAGAGATGCCTGTGGGTAGGGACAACCCCAGAAGAGGGTGGAGAAAAATGTTCAGACAGATCTTGAAACACTTGGAGTCAGCGACGAGAGAAAAGGCCTACCAGAACTGAGGCGGGTGATATTTGCAGCACAGAACCTCGCTTGATCGGAATGCTACATAAGAAGCAGCAGCAGAAGAAAAAGAAGAAGAAGAAGAAGAAGAAGAAGAAGAAGAAGAAGAAGAAGAAGAAGAAGAAGAAGAAGAAGAAGAAGAAGAAGAAGAAGAAGAAGAAGAAGAAGAAGAAGAAGAAGAAGAAGAAGAAGAAGTAGAAGACGAAGAATAAGAAGAAGAAGAAGAAGAAGAAAAAGAAGAAGAAGAAGAAGAAAAAGAAGAAAAAGAAGAAGAAGAAGAAGAAGAAGAAGAAGAAGAAGAAGAAGAAGAAGAAGAAGAAGAAGAAGAAGAAGAAGAAGAAGAAGAAGAAGAAGAAGAAGAAGAAGAAGAAGAAGAAGAAGAAGAAGAAGAAGAAGAAGAAGAAGAAGAAGAAGAAGAAGAAGAAGAAGAAGAAAAACAAGAAGATTATGCTAAAGATGATGATTACGATAAGTATTTTTTTATCTACGCACCTACTCTGTATGTTTCAATTTCAATACCCAATTAATAATGTACATCCGCTGCATCATAACAAGCATTTCGTAAAAATTTACTATGAGTTTCAGGAATTCAGAAGCGCAGATATCTCTGCCTAGCGGTAAACTACAAAACAACGTGTTAATAGCTATTTGAAGGACGCCTACAAAAGAATATAACTGGGGTAATTTAAAGAACGATTTCAGATAAAACAAAATTGGTAATGCTTCAAGCAGGAACTTCGTTGTTGAAGATTCCTTGTTACAGTTTGATAACACATATAAAAAAGTGGGTCAGGTATCGTACGTTCAAAGTTCAGTAAATGTTATATAAGCTGGATAATTTGACTCTTATGGTGCAAATGTGCATAAATGTGTTGGAGATTGTGCGTCTAATTGAACAGCTCTATTCGCTGAAGCTAAACAAGTGAACATTGTTGTCTCACAAGTGAGGTTTGTATACATAGCTCGTACACAATGGCTTCGAATTTCAACGACAAGGTGGCGATTGTGACTGGGTCCAGTTCTGGGATCGGGGAAGCTATTGCTGTAGCTTTTGCATCTCGTGGAGCAAATGTCACTTTATGTGGACGCGATGCTCAAAGATTAAAATCGGTGTTTGATAAAGTTGTAGAAATCAGCGGTGGCCACCAGAGTAGATTTCTTACGGTTGAAGGGGATGTAAATGATGCAGCAGTTCGAAAAGAGATCATTGATAAGACAGTTGAGAAATTCGGACGTTTAGACATACTTGTCCCAAACGCAGGGCAAGCTGGAATACTGGGCTCAATTTCCAATGCCACAGAAGAAACTTACGATGCTGTGATGAATACCAACCTGAAATCTGTGTTTTTTCTTATTCAGCAAGCGATCGCTCATTTGGAAAAGTCTAAAGGAACCATAGTTATCATCTCCTCTAATGTGACTTCAATGGTGATGCCTTTTGGAGCTGTCTACTCCATGTCTAAAGTAGCGCTGGATCATTTAACTCGCTGTCTGGCTGTTGACCTTGGACAAAAAGGTATTCGTGTCAATGGCGTCAATCCAGGCTACATACCAACGAGAATCTTGCGGGTTTTGGATGAGAACATTGAATTTAAAGACCTAAAGTGTTACTATAGAATCCTGCATTAATATGGACGGCAGACCAACAAGGTAGATACAATTTCTCCTGTTCAACCTGTATAGAAATTACAATTATGCCACCCGTAACGGATATCAAAGTCAAGTGTAACATACTGTCATATGCGGGTGAGGACCAGCGATAAATTATACTGGTGTTGTTTTTTTTTTTAAATTTAGCTTGCTCGTACCAACGTTATTTACTCGTGTTTTCAACATCTATAAAATCATCAGCAACAACAACAGCAATAACTTTAACAGCTACTTCTGCAGCAGTTTCGACTACCTTCTTTACTACCACACCTGCTGCTACTACTACTACTACAATTAGAAATACTGTTTTTTCAAAAATTATATCAATTATATAATAATATACTATAGTTATGTCGCCTAGCAATGTAGCTTATTGCATGGCGCGACACTGTGAGCTGAGGATTTCATTTCTAATGATTTTCTACTGTGATCAAAATAGTTTATTTTGTGAAATGTATATCCAGAAAATGGAGAGTGGCCTGTTGCCAAAGAACTAACTGGTGGTGCCTTATGTAAAAAAATCGTGTGTGCAACTACTGATCTGTCGAACTGCTGCTTCAATCGTGGATGGGCTGCATTTCTAGTGTTGTACTGTTTGTGTTAGCACTTCTGATGGCTGCCTTATACATTTAATACGTGTACATGCTACTGAATAAGCTGAGACTACAGTCTGTGTTGCAGTTTGTGTAATTTTGTTCCCCACACAAGGGACACTGATTGACATATTGTGTGGTTTTCGTTTGCAAAAGGAACGGAGCAAGTATGAGAAGTTAGATCTGTGATTACCTGCTTTCCTCATACTATAGTACGGCTACAACTGTTGCTGCAGCGACTATTTCTACCGCTGTTACTGCTACTAATACTGCTGTTGCTGCTACTAAAACTGCTGTTTATGCTACTATTACTACTCCTACTGCTGCTGCTCATCCTAATACTGCAGTACTACTACTGTGGCTGCTACTGGGGCTTCTAATACTACTGTGACTAATAAAGATAATAGCCACCTGTTTCTGTCTGAGTTAAGACCGTTATAACAATTGCAATTGTCAAAAAATGTATTAAATAGGCATAAATAACAATGACTATGATGGTATGCAGTTTGAGGATGCCGATAAAGATGATAAAACTGTTTTTGCGATTACTTCAATCCACGTTCTTCTCGGTCTTCCCCTGCCTCTGGATGTTTCGATTTTCAGGTTGTACGCTCTTGCTGCTGTCATCGTTGGTTATCTTTCTTTGTTTCTCAATAAATTTGACGATGGGTGTTGTTCCAACAGTTCTTTCTTGTGATCATGTCGTTTCTCACTCGATCTCTTCTGTTTTATTCACAGCCATTCTCAAACATCTCATCTAACAAGTGGATAGCTTTTCTTTAGCGTTCTTTTGAAAGTGTGAAAAATTATTTGCTAAACTAGAAGTAAATACAAATATTGCATTTATAATTTGTCTTTTTGTCTCAATTGTGATAGCAGGGTGTTTAAAACTGGAGCAAGTTGGTACCCGACATTGTTAGCTTGTTTGATTCTTGTTTCTATCTCTCTGTCTATTTTACTATTGTGTGTAAAGATGCTTCCCAAGTATTTAAATTCTTGCTCGTTTCAGATATTCATCTTTGAAAAATTAACAGTGCAGCGATTAATCGTATAACAATTAACCGTGCAACAAGTAACATTGTAACAATTGCCAGTGCAACAATTACCAGTGCACCAATTAGCAGTGCAGCATTTAACAGTGCAGCATTTAACAGTGCAGCAGTTAACAGTGCAGTAGTTAACAGTGCAGCATTTAACAGTGCAGTAGTTAACAGTGCAGCATTTAACAGTGCAGCATTTAACAGTGCAGCAGTTAACAGTGCAGCAGTTAACAGTGCCACATCCATGGCTTTTCTTCTCAGTAACTATCGTTACTCAGTAGGTGCCCCTTTCTCTAAACGACATTTTTTGAAGCTCTTTTACAAAAGACACTGTGTGGTGTGTAACGGCACTTTTTTAGACACTTTATTCTAAGAAATGTCATCTTTGTAACTGGAAAAAAGAATAAGCACTGACCATAGGACTAACAGACAAGTGACGATGTTTTCAGTCAGTGTCTGCACTTTAAATGTTAAATGGGCGATGACGTTTAGAAGAGTGTGGCTTTTGGGGGAGGGGGGGGGGGGGGGGGAACCGGTGACTGAACAACACGCTGTGTCGTTGCTCTTTGATGATGATGATGATGATGATCGTGTAGGAATAATGTTCATATTTTACTTTCACGTTCAAAATAATTTCATGTGTGTGTGTTTGTGTGTGTATGTTGATTTTAATGCTGCAGGATAGATCAAAATTACAAATGATTCGTCCCTTAGCCATTAATTTTGCACAATAATTGCTTGATATATACTCGGTTCATGCTTTTTTCTTCGTGATCTCCTGTTCTTCTTGTTCTTGTTCTTGTTATTCTTCTTTTTCTTCTTCTTGTTATTGTTCTTGTTTTTGTTCTTCTTCTTACTCTTTATGTTCTTTTTGTTTTTATTCTTTTTCTTGTTCTTCTTCTTCTTCTTCTTATTTTTCTTCTTTTTCTTCTTTCTCTTCTTGTCCTCCTCCTCCTCGTTCGGACTGAAGATATGAGCACGTCAATTTAAAAAAAAATCTATATAAACTCTTTGACTAACGGTCATGAAAGAGGTGATATTCGCTTGACCTTATTCTGTCCATGATACTGAAAGATTTTTACAGAAAATAACTGAATGGATGGATAACATGTGGACCCTACGTTTGTGTCCCCAGACCCCGCCAATATACACTAGATCACTTCTGATTGGTAGTTCCTCCATGTCCTTTGCACACGGTTACTGCGGTGTTCCGCAATGCCGTTGATATCGCGTGTTGTATATTTCAGCACGCTAGCACTTTTAATACTTAAAAAACATGGAGAAACTGAGTCTAACACAACCGCCCCGCCCCTTCCAACAGAGAGTGCTGCAACCTATGTCACAGGCATTCCATTTCTGTGAATAAAAACTTAAAGCAGTACACAGCAGAAACCAAAACATTAGAGAGGGACACACCCGTAACCTTCAGAAAAAAAACGACCAGCCCAACAAACTTGAAAGGTGACCTTTTCTATTTGGAGAGACTAACGTCGAAGTAACCGATTATCTTTTATAGGACTTTGATAAATCAACGCCAGCATTGTTTGGCTGTTGCGCTTTTTTTCTTGACAAATTTACTTTCAGTAGTTTGTCATTGCCTCTGGTCGGTTCTCGGTAGCACTGTCAAACGAAGGAAGGCGGCCTGCTGCCAAATCGCCTGCAGATGAGATAGAACCTGTGAACTTAGCATTACGATGCGCGTTCGCAATGCCTAGGTAAAAAACGCCAAATAATCTACTACAAAGCAGTACATTTATATAGGTGAAAAAATATGAATAGTTTGAAGGTAACTCACCTATGAGTTAACGAAACAATGACATTAATTCACTCGGTGTATCATCACGCGTGTTCTGTACTATTCACAGCGGCTCTCCGAATTCCTATATTTATGTTAACTGTTGCAACCTGATTAAAGTATGCTTGTTTTTTTCTTATAATAAACACATTTGCAAGAACTGCTCCGCACTCAGAGAAAGAAATAGAAAGATAATAAGACAAACTAGCTACATAAAAATTAAAAGCTCTAATCACCATGCGGGGAGTAGAGCCTGTCACCTCCAAGCGACCAAGGAGCCTTGCTGCAGAACCGTCTGTTTATTTCTGTGCATTGTCTTTTGAAAACACCCAGGCACACCACTCACAAGTATAATTTATCAAAAAGTAGGTCACCGCTCGAAGGAACGGCAGCAGTCAATCTGTCAATCTGCTCTTACAGCGTACACATTGATATCCTGGACAATAAACAAATGGTATGCTCCCGATCTTGAATTTCATTAAGCGAAAAAATCCAAATCATTCTTAGGACACCCGACTCTATTGTTCGAAACAATCCAGAAACATTTGACTGAAAAGCTCAACAAAATGGGGAAGCAGTAAAACTTAAACAAAACAACACAACGTAATGTTTCGACCGGGCGGCCTTTTTTTAAACACAAGTGGACTACACAAACGAGAAGAAGAGAGTATGTAGATCTCTAAGGGGTGACGTGAGCAACGTTTAAAAAATGTGATGTGGAATAAATGAAATTTAAAAAAAAATAAACGACGGCTAAAAAATATAGCCACAAAAAATAATAAACAGTATTGTTAATATATAATATAATACTTGGAATAAAAGAAACACAAATGTTAATGATACATAAATGATACGGATAAGAAATAGAATAAAGTAATAATATGAAGTAAAAGAAAATAAAAGAAAATAATTAACACTCCTATCGACCGGCTCGGCATTGTATTTTATCTCTTCTGTTCGAAGAGTCTCCACCCGGCTTGGTTTGCTGGCTATTTATTGTTTCTCCTTTTGATTAGCTCATTGTTGCTTGTATTTTGTGGCTATTGTTTTTACAGGATGAGATATCCAACCCTAAAGCATTCATAACCCTACCACTAGTTGCCTCCTACGACATGTCTGCTAGAGTGCCGTGTTACTATTGTTGGCTTTCCGCCAGAGCCCCGTAAACAAAGAGCGAATGCTTTCTCAAAAAATCTAAGGGAAAATAGAAAGTATATAGAGGCAAACATAAAAAGCATGAAAAAAACGATGTTCTTTCTACTCCACTTGTCTTGCTGCTTATCCCATAAATAGTTGTCGAGAGGAGTTAGATGTAGTTTGATGTCTGACTGAGTGGCTTGGTATTAATGTCACACTACCTTTCTTTCATGTCTTTTTTCACTTCATCCACCCATCTCTGTCTTGGTCGGCCTCCTGTCTTGTAGCTTGCCCTTCTCCTGTACTGTACCCTGGCTGTTGGCTAATTTTGTTCCATTATGAGTAGGTGACCAAACAATTTGACGCTTTGATGCTGAATGAAATCATTCTTCTGTAAGGTGCTACTATTGTTGTTTTTTAAGTTTATCGTTAAGTTTTTAAGTTTCTCATGTTGTAATTCTGCGTCTGTTCGCCCGGCTCTCTAGCGTAGTTGGCTAAACTGGATTGCGCGGAGACCGGGTGACGAACTCCTTGTGGTCCGGGTTCAATCCCGGGGGTAGGCAGGAAAGCCACATTTTCTCCCAGATTTTCAATGGAATCAAAGCCGAAAGGTTGCGATATCCATAATACCGAGGCTAAGGGTTAACAACTCACGGCTTCTGGATACTAAAACAAACAAAGCAAACACTGACTGTTCACTTCTGACCTTGGTAGCACAACGGTGTGAAAAAGTAGCGGATTTATGCAATGTTTTGTGTGTGTTTGTTTGCATGTTGATAATTTAATGCCTCATGAGGGGCGCAATTTGGTAATTTATAATGTTTTCCTTCCGTATGAAGTTTTCTATTTTTATGTCCAGCATCAGCGAATACACTGCCTTGGTTAAATCTCGTAAGTTTTTTTTAAATATCTCTCCGTCAACAAAACTGTTATATTGACCTTATATTGACCTACCATGTTTTTTCTATTGATTTTCACTTCATGTTTCTTGCAGCAGGTGTTGAAACTATGCCTGTTGTGAAATGGTGTAATAGTTTATGCTTCTTTTTCTTGTAGCCCATGCTCTGTGGCGTTGGTAGTTGTGCCTATTCACACTCTTCTATTTTGTAAAGTGTCAACGAATTCTGACACAAATGATCTTCCATACCATGATGTCAAACTGTCCAGCATGTTCTCTCTCGGTCTCCCTCTCTCTTTATTTTCCTTTGCCTTCGTCACGATGTACTCAGAATGTATTTAAAGACTAGGAACTTCGTTGTCACATATGGACATTGTCTAACAAAATCATCATCATCAAGTGTTTTGCTGACAGATGTGATGTGGGCGATGATGCCTTTTCACCATCTGCGACCCTCAACAGCATCTATCAGTTCAGGACCGGCTCTAGCTGGTGGCCCATGCTGCTGACGTCACCGATCCAGAGTAACGATGCGTAACGCAGCGTTTCTCAAACATTTTTCATCAGGCAAATTTTTTGTGTGTCTCAGCACACCTACCCATAAAGGGGTTTTATTACTAAAGAAAAATTGTTTAACAGGGCAAATTTAATGTCAAGCAGATTTGAAAAAAATATTCTTGATTATTACCTCAGCACCCTTGATATACGCTCGCGGCACCCCTGACATACGCTGGCGGCGCCCCTGACATACGCACGCGGCAACCCGTTTGAAAATCGCTGCGTGAACGTATAGTTTGCCCGGATTGTGGAGCCCTTCTTGGTCAGTTCGTTTTTTGACATCCCTCAAGGCAACAACAACAACAACAACGACAACAACAACAACAAAAAGACTGTCGAGAATCTTTCGGTGTCATTTTTATACAGATCTTTTGGCGACAAGACACTTTTTATCAAGATGAGGGCGCATGATGATGACAACGCTCCCTGATGGATCTGTAAAGTAGTGTTCATATTAAAATATTGGCATTACTTTACGAAAAAAAAAAAACCTTACGTAAAATATAAATGTACTAATTCATGTTGATACAAAGGCCATTCACAGACGTGTGTTGGCTTGTATCTTACGTCAAGTCCGACTATATGCTATAGAAACCTGTTGAGTGAAACTAGGGCAGTTGTACTGTGCACCCTTCAGAAAAAAATATAACACCCACATGCTTCAAGCTAGTGACATTTGACTGAAGACAAGTTCTTCCAGTTGTATACCCCCAAAAGAATGTCGGCCATGTATCGAACCTTCTAGAACTTTCTGTCCGTTGGACTTTATAAAAGTGTCTCGTTTCGAATAAAGTTATGTGTCTGTGTAAACGTGTATGTCTTAGCGACGTTACATATAATTCAGTGGATTTCTCTCGCTGAAAACTAAGTAAGCGAGCTGCATTCCCTACAACTAACAGATAAACACAAATCGTATATAATGGCTTCAAGTTTAAAAGACAAGGTGGCAATTGTGACCGGGTCCAGTTCAGGGATCGGAGAAGCTATTGCTCTAGCTTTCGCAACTCGTGGAGCTAACGTTACTTTATGTGGACGCGATCCCGAAAGGCTTAAATCGGTGCTTGATACAGTTGTAGAAGTCAGCGGTGGTCACACGGATAGGTTTCTTACTATGAAAGGAGATCTAACAGATTCTGGAGTTCGGAAAGACATTATTGAGAAGACCATTGAAAAGTTTGGACGTGTTGACACTCTTGTCGCTAATGCAGGGCAGGCTGGAATGCAAGGCTCAATACATAATGCTACAGAAGAAAGTTACGACGCTGTGATGAATACCAACGTGAAATCTGTGTTTTTCCTCATTCAGCAAGCTATTCCTCATCTGGAAAAGTCCAAAGGAAATATTGTCGTCATTTCCTCAAATGTAACTTCAATGATGATGCCTTTTGGAGCAGTGTATTCCATATCTAAAGCAGCGCTGGATCATCTAACTCGCTGTCTGGCAGTAGACCTCGGACAGAAGGGTATTCGTGTCAATGGCGTGAATCCAGGCTACATCCCCACAAGGCTTTCCAGGGCATTAGGTGAAAACAAGGCTATAATTGACAAAATAGGAGAGCTGGATGCAAGTAAGACGCCTCTGAAAGGAAGATCCCTGACTGTCGAAGATATAGCCAAGGCGGTCGTGTTTCTCTCCTCTGATGATGCTGGTTTTATCACAGGTGAAAACATCAAAGTCGATGGAGGGAGAACCTTCTCTGGTGCTGTTGATAATCTACCCAATCATTAGGGTGTTGAAGCAACTGGAAACTTTTCTACTGGACAATGACGATTTTAATTTTTTTTTTTTTTTTTGGAGCGTTAAATTCACTTGGAGGCCTTATAGTGTTTTCAGCTGTTTGTGACTTCAAATGTTGCTGCTACTGCTGCTGCTGGCGATGCTGCTGCTGCTGTTAACACTGCTACTATTAGGACAACTGATGCCAATTCTGCAACGATAGTTTTAGTTTTGATCTGTTTCTTTTGTAGCAATATATTTATTTGAGTCTTGTTCAAAACATTATAGTTCATAAATGATTACCGGATACTACTGTCACAAAAACGACAACAACCCTTAATACTACCACCATTACTATTAATACAAATGTAACTGCTGCTAAAAATAATACTACAATTATTTCCGATCGCTCTGCTATTACTTCTGCTGGTGCTGTTACTACTGCTGGTGCTGTTACTACTGCTGGTGCTGTTACTTCTGCTGGTGCTGTTACTACTGCTGCAGTTGTTACTGCTGCCAGTACTGGTGCTTCTGCAAACGGTGGTACACCTACTACTGCTAGTACTCATGCTGCTGTTGCTTTTGCTGCTGCTACTAATTCTACTACTACTATTACTACTGCTGCAGCTGCTGCTGCTGCTGCTACTGCTGCTGCTGCTGATATAAGTAGCCTGGGACCAGTCTCTAGGAGCTTCATGACTTTCCCCATTACAGCACTGGGGTGGGTCCAGACTTATTTAAATGTGTACCTGGTTATTTTTCCAGAACTGTATGGGAAGGAAATGCGACGAGAAAAGGCATTACGAACTTCTGCTCCTATTTCATGACATAGAATGTGTGAATACTTACCACTCCACACACCAGCCACAATATTTGTTATGACTATCTATTTTTTAATCGAGGGATGCAATAAATAAACTGAACTGTCAGTGAATATGATAATGATGGACGATGATGATGAAGATGATGATGAAGATGATGATGATGGAAGATGATTATGAAGATTAAAGGTAAAGGGACCAAGTGTTCTTCTTCAGCGAGTTCGCATTAACGAGGTTTTACTGTATTTATTTATTTTTTCCCAATCAAAGGATGCAATACATAAAATGAACTCTCAATGAATATGATAATGCTGAAGATGATGATGAAGATGATAGTGAAGATGATAATGAAGATGATGATGATGGAAGATGATTATGAAGATTAAATGAGTTTTTTTTTTCGAGAGATGTGAACCAGCGTCATTGCATTCAGTTATAAATCATAAGTGCTCTGCCACAAGTAAGGACAGCTGTTAAGAAACTGTCCGCCTGTGTCGCCGTCCACACGTAACTTCAAAGTTACAGCAACGTTCCTCCATTTACCCTAGAGTATTAACTCTGGTACCCATTAGACAGAGGCTGGGTAAACACTAGAAACCGTCCGGTTTCGAACACTGGCCGTGGGCTGCAGCAAGTCGCACCTGGATTTGAAAGCGAGTCTTCTTTCGACTGCGCTAACGCGGGGTCCCTGTGATGGTGAATGTCTTCACCCCCTTCCGCCCAGAATGGGTGGTATACAACATTGTATTTCCATTGTTAAAATTCTTTGTTTATTGAGCTAATAGTATGTTCTTATATTAATTTTACACTTAGCATATAATACAAATAACTAAAATAATTATCATTAGAAATGTCATGCTAATTATTATTATTAGCGCCCCGTCTTCCCCCCCCCCCCCCCCTCATTTTGCATGTTTTTTTTAACCTAACTGAAATGTTTTCTTTCTTCCTGGAAGGTTCAAGCTAAAAATATCATCACATGATTAATTTCCTCAAACTACTCGCGGTTCACATCAATTCAAAATGATTACTTTTTTTTTCTAACACAGTTTATACTTGCCTTAGAGAAGACAATTACAGTAAAACCACGTTAATGCGAACTCGCTTAAAAAGAACACTTGGTCCCTTCAGCGATTAAATCTTCTTCTTCTTTTTCTTCTTCTTCATTTTTATCTTCTTCTTCTTCTTTTTCTTCTTCTTAATTTTTATCTTCTTCTTCTTTTTCTTCTTCTTCTTCTTCTTCTTCTTCTTCTTCTTCATTTTTATTTTCTTCTTCTTCTTCTTCTTCTTCTTCTACTTCTTCTTTTTCTTCTTCTTCTTCTTCTTCTTCTTCTTCTTCTTCTTCTTCTTCTTCTTCTTCTTCTTCTTCTTCTTCTTCTTCTTCTTCTTCTTCTTCTTCTTCTTCTTCTTCTTCTTCTTCTTTTTCTTCTTCTTCTTTCTTCTTCTTCTTCTTCTTCTTCTTCTTCTTCTTCTTCTTCTTCTTCTTCTTCTTCTTCTTCTTCTTCTTCTTCTTCTTCTTCTTCTTCTTCTTCTTCTTCTTCTTCTTCTTCTTCTTCTTCTTCTTCTTCTTCTTCTTCTTCTTCTTCTTCTTCTTCTTCTTCTTCTTCTTCTTCTTCTTCTTCTTCTTCTTCATTTTCTTCTTCTTCTCCTTTTTATCTTCATCGTTTTCGTGATCGCCGGCTGTACCTTTAGGGGAAATTTCCCGATGTTTATCCACCTCTGGATGCTAGTCTTGTTAAAAAAACTTTGTGCTGCATGCACAGCCGTTTTACTGATCTGACTTACGTCTATGCAGATTGTTTATTCATAGTCTCTCTGGCAGATGTATTCTGACTTCTAAGGACGTTCCCTACTCTGTCGTCTCTTGGATTTTTGGTGCTTAGGAATTCGTGTTAACGAGGTTTTACTGTACAGAATAAAGCGTGTGATCTTCGTGTATATCGGACTTCTTGATTGATAGTCAAGTATAGATTATCTCATCTAATGCATTTTGCAAGTTTTTCATTGTACCTTGCAAGAATTTCCCAATATTTGTCAACTTTTTTCTTCACCATGCAAGGTGTTTGCTGAGTTTTGTCAAAGCATTTACTATCAGCGTAGACTATTGACACTAAGCTTGTCAGACTTTTTTTTTTTCCTGTTGTCTTAGTCAAAGTCGTCAAAAGCTCGGATAATTCACATGACTTGTATTTTTGTACCAGACAATGCGGGTGTTAGAGACAACGATATTGTCTGTCCGGCAAGAGGTTTACTATGACTCGCCTGGCACTGGACATGAGTGATGTCCTTAATTCCATACAAGATTCAGGCGCGATTAAGATCACACCAACGTACAGAAATCAGCATCCGCTTCCAAACAGATGCATATGACAGTGAAGCCGGGGACAGCCAGACATAAAAGTTTCAATCAGGATACAAGATTCATCGGGAGAGAACAAAAGTTTTCAGGAGGAGACTGGAGTACCTAAGGATCTGCCCAGAGTGCTGTGATGATACTGTTCTCTAATCTCTAATCACCAGTAAGGTAAATTTAAAGTACCCTTCTTGTGCACCCAATGAGGCACCACCAACATATATATATATATATATATATATATATATATATATATATATATATATATATATATATATATATATATATTGATTGCCGTTTTGTCAATACACACACATATACATACATATATATATATATATATATATATATATATATATATAATGACAAAACGGCAATCAATAGTCAGTGTTGTCAACAACTTGCCTATAGTCTTCACTTACTTTGATATTTTATGGTCCCTTTTTTAAGTAGGGTCAAACTTGGAGCTAAAGTAATATATTCAAATTAGCTAGCCTTTGTGCGGACTGGAACTCAAGACCTTCTGGCAAACAGGATGGCGACTAGCTATTGGGTTAACGCATTTTAGTTTTGACTATTACACATAGGCATGTTCGGTCACACACAGTGCGTCTCACTCGGCACACAAACACGTCAAAAAAAAAGTGATGATATATTCTATTAACCGTTAGAAAGGAGTTCTGCATAATCTTTTTTTTTTTCTTTTTCTAATTAAAATGTCACACATGAAATGTTTCGTTTGTTTATTTTGTGTTATTATCAATGGCGAATTATAAGTAAAAAACATGATATAAATATGTACATACATACATACATACATACATACATACATACATACATACATACATACATACATACATACATACATACATACATACATACATACATACATACATACATACATACATACATACATACATACATACATACATACATACATACATACAGACATACAGACATACAGACATACAGACATACAGACATACAGACATACAGACATACAGACATACAGACATACAGACATACAGACATACAGACATACAGACATACAGACATACAGACATACAGACATACAGACATACAGACATACAGACATACAGACATACAGACATACAGACATACAGACATACAGACATACAGACATACAGACATACAGACATACAGACATACATACATACATACATACATACATACATACATACATACATACATACATACATACATACATACATACATACATACATACATACATACATACATACATACATACATACATACATACATACATACATACATACATACATACATACATACATACATACATACATACATACATACATACATACATACATACATACATACATACATACATACATACATACATACATACATACATACATACATACATACATACATACATACATACATACATACATACATACATACATACATACATACATACATACATACATACATACATACATACATACATACATACATACATACATACATACATACATACATACATACATACATACATACATACATACATACATACATACATACATACATACATACATACATACATACATACATACATACATACATACATGCATGCATGCAACAACTGCTTGAAAGAAGCTAATAAAAGTAGATCTCTATATACAACAATAAGAAAGAGTCAAACACTGTTTTTTGGCCACATAATGGGTAGAGAGACATTAGAGAACATCGTGACAACCGGAAAGATCAGTTGAAAGAGGGGTAGCAGACCCAGAGAGATCATGCTGGATGGGCTAAAACAATGACATAGAGGGCTATCATCAAGAGAGCTGTTC